TGGGGAAGCACGGATATCGACTATAGAGGTGAGTGTTTGCTTGAATTTCTTATGACTACCGACCTTGAGGTCTTGAATGTTGGTACTATGCCTACATGCGTGACTAGAACAAGGTCGGAAGTATTAGATATAACTTTAGTCAGCTCCAGTATTAGAGACCTCATCAAAAACTAGAGAGTATCAACCGAACCATCCCTGTCAGATCACAGGATAATTGAGTTGAACCTAGAGAATGTAAAATACAATAGACCCATACGAAGGGTTCCGAGAAAAACCAATTGGGAAGCCTACAAAACCAATTTACCGAACAACCTTCACTGCGTAAGTTCAGGTTGGAAAAGACACCACATGGACCTGGAGCAGGACACTAAAGAAGTCACAAAAGCAATTATGAAAAGCTTTGAATCCAGTTGCCCAGTGACTACAGCGAGATCCAAAAAAGATGCACCATGGTGGAACAGACACCTGTCAAAACTGAGATTTCAAGTCCATCATCTTTTCAATACAGCAAAAAGTGACGGAAATTGGCAGGGATACGCAGAAGTGCTTACTCTGTATATCAAAGGAATAAGAAAAGCCAAAAGGCAACATTTCAGAACCTTTTGTGAGGAAATTGCTGACACTCCAGCGGCTGCAAGGCTACATAAGGCCATGGCCAAAGGAGGAACAAATCCAGTGATGGCCCTCAAAAAGCCGGATGGCACCTACACGAAAGGAGAAGAGGAGCAGGCCATCCTATTACTTCAAACGCACTTTCCAGGTAGCGTACCAGTAGAAATAAACATGGTAGAGGGCCTTTACTGCGGAACGGATGAAATGGGCAATAAGTACCTTTCAACCGTTTAAGTCACCAGGAGTGGACGGAATATTTCCTGCCCATTTACAAAAGGGGCAAAAGGAAATATTCCCTCACCTACTTAGAATAGCTAGGACTAGTTTAGCCTCGGGATATATACCGAGTATCTGGCGACGAGCTAATGTAACCTTCATACCCAAAATAGGAAAAAAGGATGGGACAAACCCTAAATCTTTTCGACCTATTAGTCTTACGTCCTTTGTACTAAAGACGATAGAAAAAGCTGTAGATAACAATATCAGAAAGGAAATTTTGGAGAAGGCACCTCTACACTCGTGCCAACATGCATACAGAGCAGGCAGATCGACAGAGACAGCGCTCTATCAACTTACAGAAATCATCCAAAAAACCCTTGAGGAAAAAGAAACAGCATTATGTGCCTTCCTGGATCTATCCGGGGCTTTTGATAACACGTCCCATGGGGCGGTAAAAATTGCTCTGGAGAGAAGAGGAGTGAATAAAACCATAGTCCGGTGGGTCTGTGAAATGCTGACTATGAGAACAGCTGAGACAACTGTGAGTGAACAAACCACAAGCATCAGAACCACTCGTGGTACACCTCAAGGAGGAGTAACCTCACCACTGTTGTGGAGCCTGGTAGTTGATGAACTCCTGTCCAGACTGACAAATCAGGGTCTAACTTGTATAGGTTACGCCGATGATATTGTCATTATTGCCGAAGGCAAGTTTGAGGGCACACTATACGACCTCATACAAAAAGGCCTAAGTACTACCAAAGAATGGTGCACATCGGTGGGGCTGAGCAAAAACCACTATTGTACCATTAACACGTAGAAGGAAAATTCAACTTACTAGGGAAATTCACTTAAGTGGAGAGGTTGTAAATCAAGCAAACGAAGTCAAATAACTGGGCGTAACACTGGATAGTAAACTTCTATGGAAAAAACACCTAGAAGTCATTGTTAACAAAGCTACCAAAGCCATTATGGTGTGCAGAAACTTGGCAGGTAAAAACTGGGAATGTACACAAAAAATACTGCGGTGGATGTATATTAAGATGGTAAAACCCATAATCACATATGGGGCAGCATAGCACACAGTATGGCATAGCAGAACAAAGCACTACAAGGCGAGCACTTGATAAATTGCAAAGACTGGCAAGTGTATGTATTACAGGAGCCATGAGAACATGTCCAACAGCAGCGTTGAACGTCATACTTGACCTCACACCTTTGCACTTGTCGGTGAAGGGAGCTGCAGAAAGGGCTATGTTTAGACTAGCTAGGAATAGGACCGAGACTAAGGACATTATCGATCAAGGAGCATGGTCATCCCAGACACTGTGTATTCCCTTATTCGATCTTCCTAAAGACGATAAACCAAAGAATATCATTTTGAGAGAAACTTCCTCACAAAGATTGATAATAAAAGCGACTGGGAAAGCGGCAAGATCACCGAATCTCTCAAAGAAAACACCATTAAAAGGTACACAGACGGTTCAAAAACCGACAAAAGATCAGGAGCTGGAGTATTTGGGCCTCGCACCAAATATTTTGAGTCACTGGGTAAATACACCAGTGTCTTTCAGGCGGAAATACACGCCATTGACATTGTGCTCAAATTATCCTGAACAGGACCTATTTCAAGCAAGATATTGCAATATTTGCCGACAGTCAATTGGCCATAATGGCACTGAGTTCGTATGTCATCAGTTCTAAGATAATACCGGATTGCCTAGGGAAACTAAATGAGGTAGGGAAGAAAAATAAAGTCACTTTACTATGGGTGCCTGAACACACAGGAGTAGAAGGTAACGAAGAAGCCAATACCTTGGCAAAGAAAGGATCCGGTTCCCCGTTTATAGGACCGGAGCCTTTTTGCGGTATAGGTAAAAACACTTAAACAGCGGAGCTTAAGAAAATGGAAGACGACCTAAGAGCTCGCCTCTGGGACGACCTTCCGGGCCTGAGACACTCTATTCCTTGGAAACTTCAATCCCAAAAAATCTAAAGCTCTAGTAAATTTAAGTAAAACTAAAGACTAAAGATCAAACTAAGAATTCTTACAGGGTTTATGACAGGGCACCGCCACCTTCGAGAACACCGCAGGAAAATGCTACTCGAGAGATCCAGTGAATGCAGGTTTTCGGGGAGGAGGAAAAAACTCCAGAACACCTACTAACCGTATGCGAAGCCGTCGCTAGAAGCCGGGCTACACATCTCGGTGACTATGTAGTTTTAGAAGGAGACATACCATCCTTGACACAGTACCAGTTACTAGCCTTCAAGGCCATAGGACTGGACGAAGTACTATGATTTGAGATCCACATCAAATCGGCCTCAGCAGGGTGCACAATAGATCTTTAGGTCGCAGTGCAACAACACCCCAATATTAATCTATCTATCTATCTTGGTAACTACCTAAATGTTATTTCTATGTATTTAATATACCCTTTTATATCGAAAGTAGCAAGGCTAATTATTTAACCACACGAACACTCCAAAAATGCAGATTGAAATGTCAGAAACAATCAATTTGAAACCCAAATTAACTACCAAAATTTTTTTTTGTTATATGTACTACTAAACATGAAATAAGTCCGTTAAAACTAGCACTAAAATATAGTTCTAGTACACTTTATTTTTGTACATACACAACACTAAACTCTATAAGTAACTACATCATTTTTTTTAAAACACTTTATAGTACATTTGGCATTACCTTAGTTTATTTTATGTTGCAGTTGAACCAAAAGTTTGGTTCGCTATTTTAACTTTGTGCGCTTTTTACCAAAAATTAATTCAACTGCCAGCATAATATAAACGTTGGTAAAAAAAAATAACTATCTTCTAAAGCATGTTTTACAAGAATCATCTTCTAGTTTCTTTTTAATTTAAAATATTTCTACAGAAAATTTTGATTATGTTAGTTATATACAAATCCGTGAGTATGATTTAAAAAAAAAAGATGATTTTTGTCAAACTTCTGGAAGATATTTTGTTGTTCTTTTAGAGAAAAACAATGTCAAATACTAATATTTAAGCCTTTGAAACCTACAAGTTTAATTGTCCGCTACTAGAATAGAATAATTTACACTTATCACTAATTAAATTGAGGAAAAATAAATAAACACAAAAGAGACCAGATTTATGTGATAATGTCTTATCTCTTGTTTAGAAAATAAATACTGAACAAAACTGACCTCAATTAAATAATATAAAATTATTAGGAATAAATAAATTATTGCACTGACATAACAGTGATGTTATATTAGGATATTTCAAACATTATCGTTTAATGCAAAAATCTCCATAAAAAAATGTATTGATAAAAATAGTGAACTAAAATGCAAGAATTTACACCTTTGTGTATCAGATCTCTGCGTTGACCAAGAATAGAATTCTTGACAGGGCAAAAATAGCTGCCAATTATTCAGTTTTCAAAAATTCTACTTAGTGGTCTTTGGTCAAAAGTGAATGCATGGAAATAAACCAAACATGTTTCAGACTATAACGCGGTGAACCCTTTCGGAATGTCGTGGATAAATCTGCGAAGAGTTTGGAAAAAATATCAAATCACATATTTTTGCTTCTTCTAAGTACCTATCTTGCCTGAATTTATGTGAAGCAATATTTTGGCTCAACTCCATATCGAGTAAGCTCCTATTTTTTTTTTAAACTAAACAATTAAAACGTTTACACCTATTAATAAATAATATCTATTGCGGAAAACACCTCGTAATGCTAATAATAAAATGGCAACAACTTTTTAGAGTCACGTCAAGTGACTGATATTTTTTTTTTTGTAAAATAATGAACCTACTAGCATTAGCGAATCACCTTCCGCTGAGTTAAAATTTTGAATTTTGCCAAAACAAAACTGTACATAAGTATATAAACAACAGTCTTTCGAAACTGGCCGAACAACTTTGGCGTACCTAGATTATAATAATTTATAAATTTCTTTTTTTTTTGCAATATAAAAAGTGTCCAAAATATACGCCGCCAAGAAAACAAAATTACCGCGAGCGAGCTTCCTCGTGTGTGCTTTTGTTTTATCCGGGTTTGATTTCTATTAGTACAACAAAACAACTCGCTGAGCCAATTCATTATACTACTAAAACCAACCAGTTAAAGAAGATTTATCACATTTAATTAGGGGAGGCATTTGTTCAAAAAAAAGTTCATTCGCCCCGACACTCCGTCATCGGTTCCATTTTGATGGAGGGCATCGTGTCCTTGGACCTCGGCGTGCTGGATTGGTGTATAGGCTTCACCAAATCGTCTATGTCTTCTTGGAAAAGGTTCTCGGGACGCGGAGATGTAAACGATCGCGCGGGTTTATATGTCATGCCCGAGCCTATTCCTACGTCCATGTTGTTGCCTGTAATCAAATATTTAGCTATTTTAAATTTAAGATTATGTATAGAGTGGGATTTTGATTAAAATGAGCCATCAATATGTTTTCTGGATGAAAGTATAGTCCCAGTTGAATAAGTCACATTTGATGGATAGCAGGGAAAGAATCGTGAATTCGTGAATAGGTCGAATAAATGTCACCGCTGTACCGCCCTTGGTGAAACAGGGAGAGAGGAGAGGAAAGGAGTTGGGATTCATAAAACGACCATATTATCATAGCAATTTCGTCGTACCTCATAGAACATTAAATCTCCTCCAAAGATACGAGAAAGATTCATCAAAATGAAAATCATGTTGAATAAAAGACCTGAAAAAAATTTCCGAGATTCTGAGGACAGCTAAAGTCACTGATATCCCTGTTACACATTCCCGCATTGGAAAGCTAGACCCAAACAGGCCTGGCGACAGAATTGGCCACTCATAGTCTGAACTCTATCCAGTACAAAGTGGCGTACTTACCCCAAGACTCGATATACTTGTACCTCTGTTGTTTGTAACTTACACTCCTCAGCCTAATATTGCAGTAAATGATAAAATAAATAAACTTATTAAGTGCAATAATGAACTTTTTTCTAATAAACTTGGTAAATATTATTATGGTAGAATTCATGTCGAATTTAAAGAAAACTATAAACCAACTTTTTGTAAATTCCGACCTGTTCCCTTGGCCTACCGTCTCGTGGACCAGGAGACAAATGAAATGGTTGAAGAGGGTATTCTAGAAAGTAACTGGGCGACTCTGTTAGTTCCAGTATCGAAAGAAAATGGAAGCATTAGATTATGCGGTGAGTATAAAAAAACATTAAATAGATTCTTAGAAGATGTCATCTATCCATTACCGAGAATAGAGGAAGTTTTTGCCAAGTAGAATGGAGGAGAGTATTTTTCAATAATTGAGATCAGATCAGCATACAACCAGATAAAAGTGGACGAAGAAACCTCAGGAATCTTAACCTGGAATACCCAATTGGGGCTTTTTCGCCACAAGAGATTGCCATTTGGAATTAAAACGGCTACAGCAATTTTTCAACGTATAATGGACCAGCTCATACAGGGTATTGATGGAGTATGGTTATTTTTGGAGGACCTAATCACCACAGAGAAACACCTGAAAAACTTGGAGTTGGTCTTCAAAAGGTTGATAGAGGCAGGTTTCACCTTAAGAAATGAAAAATGTTATTTCTTTCAGAGAGAAGTAAATTATTTAGGTCATAAAATTAGCAACTAAATGTGACACAGCTTTTAAGGAAATAAAGAAGATTATCTCATATGATAACGTATTAATGCATTTTGACCCAGATTTGCTAATAATTGTTACTTGTGATGCCTCTAATGTGGGTATTTCTGGGGTTTCATCACAGATCAACGACGGCCAAGAAAAAACTGTGACTTGCGTTTCCAGAACTCTATCTGATTGTGAAAAACGAACCATGGCTACAGTGGAGAAAGAAGCACTTGCAATTTATTATACTGTCAAACGCTTAAATCAATATTTGTGCGGTGTTAAATTTATTTTAAGAACTGATTGCAAATGCTTGGTAGCTCTTTTTGGTGAAAACAAAAAAATACCTCAAATGTCAGTAAATCGCCTTCAACGTTGGGCTGCTTTTCTTTCAATGTTTAACTATCAAATTCAATATATAAAAGGTTCAGAGAACCAACTTGCAGATTATTTCAGCAGAAGCCCCATGAAAGGCCCACAGGTTTCTGAAGACAAGGGGTTATTCATAAGTTTCACCAAATCTCAAGAAAAATGGCCTATTGACGATGCGGAAGTGAAAAGGGAAACAGAAAGAGATCCTGATCTTACAAGAATCATGTGAAGAACAATAAATGGCCTAAAAACATAGGTGACAATATTTTGCCAGATTACAATAGAAGAAACCAGTTATCCATAGAAAACAACATCCTACTATGGGGTCATAGAATAACAATACCAAAAAATTTGAGACCAAAAATATTAGAAATCATTCATTCTGGCCATATGGGTATTTGAAAGATGAAAGCTCTTGCTAGATCCTTAGTTTACTGGCCAAAGATTGATGATAACATTGAAAATTTGGCAAGAGCATGTTTTCCTTGCTTGGTAAATAAACAAAACCCACCCAAAACAGACTTGCCTCCATGGGAATTGACCAGCAGACCTTTTCAAAGAATACACATCGATTTTTTGGAGTTTAAAGGGAAGATGTATCTCGTCATCTTGGACTCGTACACTAAATGGGTGGAATGTTTCCAGATGAAACAAATTTCAGCTTACGAAACTAAGGAAAAACTAAGAAAAACTTTCGCAAGGTTTGGAATACCAGACAGTATAGTCAGGCCGAAAATGCCGTGAACACTTTCAAAGGAAAAATTAGCACTTGATGACCCAAGAAACTCAAAACTTCCAATTCAAACTTTGATATCCAGATTCATATTTACATATACAACAATTCCACATTCAACAACTGGCAAAACACCCTTCCTGCTAATGTATGGAAGAGAACCCAGAACAATTCTAACACAAATAAAAGAGAGCCAACCTTGTAGAAAACCTCCAACGGAAATGGTAAACCCAAACACAGAAACTGAAAGAGACAGACAATTAAGAAATTATGGAGGCCGAAAAAGAGAATTTGAAGTGGGGGAATGAGTTCTGATCAAGAATTACAGAAACCATAACAAGGAGGGTTGGACTTCAGCCACAGTAAAAAAACGAATTGGAAAAACTACGTATTTATGCACCCTACCAAATGGGTCAGGTCTGGAAGCGACATACAAACCAAATCCAGGAGGGGTCCACGGGATTTTGGTGGTACTGGTAAACAAGGTCGGGTCCCAAAAATTAATTCTTTAAAAACTGCCCAAAACGAGGCTAAGGGACTTAATGAATCCAATAAAAAGTTTCAAGTAAACAAAAATAAACTTCAATTTCATAAAAGTAGTGAGTTGAACTCTGATTATTTCGTGAATTTGCCGATCAATGCAGCCTTGAGGGTCATTTCTTCCTCTGCGGATAGCATCAGCATGGGGGCGGACCCGTCTTCTGATATTTCCAATACTAATACCAGTAGTTGTAGGTACTTCAGGTAATTCAAATTTTGACCCGTGCTCTGGCGTTTTGACAAGCATTGAAAATAAGGATTGTATAGAGCAAATTGAACGGACGTAGAGTAAGTGTCAGTGTAAATGTAGAAAATAGGATTAGTGATGACCAGCCTGCTATCCAGAAAACTTTGCAAAATCTCCGAAACCAAAAAGTAAAGAATCGTGTTTGGGCCGTAGGTCCACCAGAAAAATTTCAAAACCCTCAAAATGTCAAGACTATGTTTTGGGATCTGATGACGAATTCCTATCCCTGTCGGACTCTGAATAGCATGACAGGATAAGTTTTAAAATGTAATTGTTTCTAATTTAAGTAAATTTAGTTTAGTTAAAACCCGACGATTTCGCAACACGAAGGAAAAATTCAATGGGGCGGTACCACCTTTTAAAGACATATAGAAGGTGTTCAATTAAGTCTCGACTCAGCATTTGGGAAACTCGTATTATGGTATAAGTTATTGCGTAATTACATCAATTCCGTAGCCTGTATATGTGTCGTATTTTTGTATAGTTTGTATTGTTGTGCAAGTTAATGCGTAATTACATTAATTACTCTTGTGGATTGTATAACTTGCAAATTGTTTCTAAGAAACTCATGGGCACTGTTGCCAGTATTTTGTAAAATTAGTTATTAATAATAGAAAGTGTGATCAGCTTTAGGAATCCAGGAGATCATACCTACCACTTATTGGTACACACCAATTTGGTCCTTGATAAACATGTGAGGACAACTTTCTATTTTGAAGTGGGGGTGTGACATCCTGTATAATGATTGCGACAGTCTGTATAGTTCTTATTATATCGCCATGCACATGTGTGGTGAATGTGCGGCGTCTGAGCATCGGAGGACCGAGACGAGGCGAAGCCATTCAAAATTACAACCAGCAATGAGCTACATGACTGTACCTTCCCTGCTCCCTTAACGTGAAATAAATAATTTTAAAGTAATCATTGATCAATCGTTTAATTGCACCTGAATATATTAAAGAAAAGGTGGGGGAATACTCGTTTCTGCTTCTCTGAAAAGAATCAAATTAAAGTTAAGCCCTGAATCATCTCTCAATTGTATCGCAATTGCTAAACCCCTATTTGTGAAGAAATTCTATGTCTTCTTTTGACAAGTCGGATTCGAGAGAAGTTTCAAGATTCATGTTTTCATACATACAAATTGTTATACATTAGAGGTTTGTTTGTTTGTGTCGCACTACCTTGAACTGAGCTGTAATATTTCAGATTATGGCAGATAATTAACCATAAAAACGTTCGTCAGTTCATTGCCATAATACAAACGAACGCCCCAAAGCAGGAAGAGCTGCTCCGAACAACACAAACAAACAAACCTGTGTCAGATTCTGTTATCACAGGAATCACAAACCAGTCAGAACAGACCTAATCTTCATCTCGTTCTTCTTCTTCTTCAAGTTCTTAACTCTTGGTAGTATTGGGTTCAGTTATTGCAAAACTCCTCGGGATATCAAATACATTTCAAATTGTCTAGCGCTCAATGTTGCCTAAAACTTAGTCTCAAAGGCAAATACGCAACTGACCGGTACTCTGTAGCGTTTAAAATTTATGATATGCGATTTCTGGGTTAAAATGAGATGATATTCCTAGCGATTACCACATGATTCTCAGCGACTGCCAATGGATTTCTATGAGATTCCCATGGAGTCCTAGGAGATTCCTAGTGATTCCCAGGGACTCCCAAGTGATTTCTATAAACCTGATTGATTACTATAAGATTCTCAAAAAAATTAACAATGATTACCACTAGTGGTTTACCCCTCGGGTCCTGCCAACAATTTTTGACTCGCCCCAGAATGATTTGAACCAGATTGAGAAGAGGTGTGAGGACTGGCAACTACCCCTTAATGTGAA